GGGGGGGGGGAATTTATTCTTAACACAAGTAATGTTTATTTGACTTTCTGTAAATTTGTTATACGCTTCGGTGATCGGTCTAGTCTAGAAAAAAAAAAACAGAATTTTTTTCAAAAAACAAAACCAAAGATCGTCTGTTTTGAAAAATATATTTAAATTTTTGAAAATCAAGTCAGAATGTTTTCTCGAAAACAGAAGCAAACAACAGCATGGTCTTTGATATGAATTTAACAAATCTTGTACGCAATAATCTTGAGCTAAAACTTCATTTGATTTCTTGCAAACTGAAAGCTCTAATTTCTCCCCTACATATAGAATTTTGATGTTTGCATCCTAGCTTATACTCCCTTCGTTTACTTTTACTTGGCATGTATACTAAAAATAGATTTTTATTTTTACTTTTCATTTTACGCATATCAAGAGAAGGCAAAAAAAGAATTCCTGTTATACCCACAGTATTTATTACTCATTTCAAATCATAAATCCAATAAAATATGCATTAATTAATATGGGTATCATGGTAAATTATACACTTCATTTATTATTTCTTAAGGGGTGTGAAAAGTCAAAACGTGCCAAGTAAAAGTAAACGAAAGGAGTATATAATTATATAAATGAGATAAATTGTACACTTCTTAATACTACACATTTTTCAATTGTGATTTATAATATCTTGTTTCTTTCCAGTAAAATAAGATATTCACCCTAGGAAGAATTGTATTGATGAATTTGTGTACGGGTAAAAGCCTACTCCGATTTCCCGACAAGGAAACGAGGGGAGAGCACATCCACGAGATTGTAATCGAGGTATGAGACCCTTCGGATCGAGATCCAAGGGGAGCATACGATGTATCCATCATCGAATGCGGCAAAGCAACGCATCCCGGGCCAAGTATAAGTTATAGACCTCGGGAGACACGATGAACGGTTGTGCATGGCGGATAGAGTGTCGTGATACTCGCCATCAACCGGATATCACGATGCGAATCTCGCTTGATGGCGACTGTGGATCAACAATTACCGGAAAAGAAAGATTTTTACCTTTTTTAGACTTATATTAGGACTAAAACTCTCCTACTATATAGATGAGAGGTTTTTCTTTTCTTGGACACACTGTAACACGCAAATCAAAGAAATACAAGTTTATTTTCTGCCTTTTAGCTATTGTTAAAAATGTTGTTCATTTATTCTGTTCTTCATTCATGGTTGGGCTGGAATCGAGGGTCCAATCGAGAACAAGGTCGCTATTCAATCTAAGTTCAGGTTTGTCCATAATATCACAATTGGTTTGATCGTTTATTTCGTCTTTAATTCATCTATATAACATTCTTAATTATTTGTGTTGAATCAAACCACGTATCCTTAAAACAACGTACAAATTTAATTGTTATCCAATTTTAGGGTGAACAGTTTAGTGCCTAACGTGGGGCTAAGGATAATAGTGGTGATTTGACACAAATCTCCGTAACACACACCTTATTTTACACTTGTTCTTTAATTTCTTAATTTCAGGTCAACCAAACAAATATCAAACTCTCACTCTGCTCACTTAAACGTTGACGCTGAGTCTGGCCATCACGGCGAAAATAATAACTTGGTGCCCAACGACGATGTGCCTCCTGCCGATCCCAACGATGTCCCAGCTTTCGACCCGATCGATGCTAACTTGTAGGTGTCCGTCAACATCAATTTTCCAACCGATCCCGTAAACAGTTTCACGGGGGACCTTGACCAACAGCCCGAGAAGCACCCGAAGGCGTAAGTGATGGGGTAAGCCTGCGTCTAATTTTTAAAATATTGCAGGCTCAACAAGCGGCAATAACACAGTTGCAGAATCAAAGCCATGCCCTTAACAGGGTCGAGCCCGAACGATCTCGGGAAAGCACTCGAAGAGATGCGCAAATTACCAAGTGACTGAGTGAAGCCGAGCCCGGGGTAAATCTCGAGGTGATGAAAATGCTCGAAGAGTTGACAAAATGGGTGGAGTCGGGTGAGAGAAATGTTGAGGCTAATGACAAGAAGATGAAAACATACAACTCTAGGGTTGATCAGATCCCGGGAGCACCCCCGATATTGAAGGGATCGGAATCAAGAATTTTATCCAGAAGCCCTTTCCTCCGAACGCGGCACCAAAAATGATCCTTAAGAGGTTTCGCGTGCCCGACAATCCCAGATACAATGGGACCACGGATCCAAATGAACATGTGACCTCCTAAATATGTGCAATCAAGGGGAACGATCTGGAAGATGATGAGATCGAGTCAGTATTACTGAAGAAGTTTGGGGAGACTTTTCCCAAAGGAGCAATGATATGGTATCACAACTTGCCCCCAAACTCCATGATTCGTTTGCTATGCTTGCAGATGTTTTCATAAAAGCCCATGCCGGGGCCATCAAGGTCGAGACTAGAAATTCAGACCTTTTCAAGGTCAAACAAAGAGACAACGAGATGCTCAGGGAGTTTGTGTCAAGGTTCCAAATGGAACGAGTGGACCTACCTCCGGTTGCAGATGATTGGTTCGTTCAGGCATTCACTCAGGGGCTCAACCCCTGAAGTTCCTTGGCCTCTCAACAGCTAAAACAAAAATTGGTGGAGTACCTGGCAGTAACCTAGGCCGACGTCCACAACAGGTACCAGTCAAAGATTAGGGTCGAGACGACCAACTCGCGGCCCCTTATGGATCTGTTTACCCAATCAGAGCCGACGATAGATCTAAGAGGGCCATTGATCAAGAGCCAAGATCAGGCTGAGATTGGTATCAACCATACAGCGTGGACTGAAGGGGAAACGGATCTGAGCGTCATCCAGCAAAGAACGAGAAGAGAAGCGATCAAGGGCCCGGTGGCCAAGGACTGATGAGCAAATATGGGTTTGATAGGCCGCTCTGGAGCAGGGAAGAACCGAGATTTCAAAATAAAACTTCAACGTGGACTCTGCCAGTATCGTGTCAGCCATATGACGCATTAAAAAGACCAAGTGGCCCCGATCATTGCAGTCTGATCCTACCCAGAGAGATCCATATTTAATGTGTAAATATCACGGCACTCACGGTCATAGGACCGAAGACTGCCGACCATTAAGAGAAAAAGTTGCCCGATTATTCAAAACAGGCACCTCCGAGAATTCCTGAGTGATCGAGCCAAAACCACTTCAGGAACATGGACGCCAACAAACAGGCCGAACAAGAGGAGCCTCAGCATGT